GAGACTTGTTTGCTGATGGTGATGGGAATCACCATGCTAACACGCATACAGAGTGTGTTTTGCCCACTACTGATTTCAAGAGTTAAGCAGATTCAGGTTTGGGTCTTGTCTGGGGTCAAACGACGATGTAGGAGTTTAAACTGGGTTTAAACCACGACACCATGTAATTGGGAAATGGGCTGGAACACTGTGGACCTGTTTTTCCTGAGCAAATGACTAACTTCTGGCAGTAGTTGGCTGAAAATATGGATGAGCAGTTGAAAAGAACTCAAGTTACAGTCTAGAGCACTCACTGTTTTAGCTTGAAGTTTTGGCATACAGATACTTGGAGTTTGAATATGTCTTCACTAAAGATACTTGATCTGGTTCTAATACCCTGTTTAGTTCTTGGACATCCCATTCTCCATATGTGGTCCATGCAAGTTAAGGTGCTCCTTATCTTCCCTATTTGCTGGAGGAAGATGTAAGGAAAAATGCTTTTCAGTGGTTTGGATAATGAAAGTTATTACTAAGCTTTTCTAAGAGTTTGTGTTGGTAATCAGATTCCATCCTACTTTGTGGACCCTAACCTTCATCCATGAAATCCAAGAAGTCTTCGTCATCCGTGAAGGGCAAAGATGAATGACTGTTTTCTTACTGTTTCATTACCCTCTACCTCAGTGACATGAAATAACTTTGAAAGCTAGTTTTCACAACTTTATACAAATGTTATTCTAGATTAAATTCTGTTGAAAATGTTCTTAGAATTCTTTTGTAATGATGTTTGTTGTATATAATCCCTAATGTTGCATAGAAAGAAGCCTTTGCCTTGTACCCCTGTAGAAGCAAATGAGATTGTGAAGACTAACTAAAAGTAGAATAAACTTTTCTTAAAATTCCCCCTAACCAAGCAGAAGGCAGCTCACCTACATTTTATGAAGTTTTTGCATGACAAATGCAATAGGCGTGTCTGACTACACAGGGAATGGGAGATTATTTTTTACTGGCAAAACCCATCCTGCTTAGAAAAGGATAACTCCATGGCATATGCAAATGTATGTGAGTGGGTAGTTCCTGTTCTTAATCTTCTTGGGTTTAAAATATAAAATATGAAAATACATATTCACATAAATATGTAAGATATCATCTAAATTTCACATTATTTCAGTATGCTTGATTGAAATGCTGGGCATTACTTAAAGGCATCCCAATAAAGGCAATAGAGGTGATAATGCTGGTGCAGAAGGAAATACAATAATTCATCTTCTATTTGAAATGCTTCTCAAAGTTCCACTTCTGTGGTACTGTCTCAGGACTATGTCTAGAATAGCATTTCTTAGCTGTGTCACTGCAGAAAAGATGAGTTTTAAGTTGTCATGTTGCATGCAAGCTGTCTTATCCTAAATTTATTTTGTGTCAGTTTGGCAAATTTGTATTGCTCTATAAATACAACAGTATATTGTCCTATACTGTTCCTTGAGTTTTCTCTGTATATTTAAAACGAATACTTACATGTACTTGCTTCCATTGCTTTGCAGTGCTTACATTCTCTTGGCATGTACTGACATTTCTATAGGGATGTTTTGTACAAATGTGATTAGTCTGTTTGTAAATTTAGACCTGAGAACCACGTAACAGATTTGAAAGCAATGTGAAAAATTGAATAATCAAACATCCTTGATAGCTTTAAATGCCTTTGTTGTTAGCCCACCTGTACAGAGAATTCTAATAATATTATTTTATAATATTATTTTAAATAATACAGTGGCTCAGAGTGAATCTCAGAAATATTTCCATTCATTGCCCAGACACATTATAGCTACTTAAAGACTGAGATAAACAGTGATTATGTTATTTTATGACTGTGTCTTACTTTAAGAATGTCTATGGCTAGCTGTAAGCAGGATCACTGAAACTTTCATTTTAGCAGCTGCTACAAAAGCATAAGTTTAAAAAAACAACTGTTCTAAAAAAGCTTTCACATAAAAGTACATTGGTTGTATTTATGTAATTGATGTTGGCATCAGCTGAAGTAAATTTAAGTGAAAGTTCATCCATAAAATTATCTGACTTTCTCAATCCGCTTGAACCTTGATCTGTTTTGGTGTAATGTTTGGGAGTTGGTAACGATGCTTTATGATTGGAGTCTGTAACCCCAAATGAGATTACACCACCTTCTTCTGATTCAGAATTTCCTTCTTAGTTGCAGTATGTGTTGTTTCACAGAAATGAGGAGTAATTCTTTCTCAAATGCTCATGTTGGGATTGCTGCCAGGGAACAGCATTAGTGAGGTATTCTTTCACTGCTAAAGACAAGGCGTTGCTTCTATTGTAAGCTTGGTTCTCTCTAAATGAGTTTACAAACTTATTCTAAATAATTCACTTCAGCTTGAAGCCCTCTTTCCCAGGAGAGTGAATAGTTGTCTTCTTAAAGCCAATTTTTGATTTAAGAACCAACAGACCACATGGATGGTGATTTTGAAGTTGTGGAATGTCCCTCCTTTGTACGGCAGACAGCTGTGCATTCGCTCAGAGCCCTTCCTGCTCTTTAAAAAATAAATAAATATTATTATTTGAAAATTCCTTATTGAGTAGACAGTAATGAGTCTGCATCAGTTGGCTGCAAAGTGCGGTGGTGTTTCAGATCAGTCCTCTATATGCAGTTTGCAGTGGTGGCGCACGTGCCTGAATGAACGCTATGCAGCATTCATTCCAGTGTTGCCCTCATCACCTACAAGCATGTGTGCGTGTATGCTTCATCCTCCCATATTGATGGCTCGGCTTCACAGGCGAAGCTTTGGGAAAGGCTTTAACCACGCTTACTACAAGCATGATGACCAAGAGCATGAGGGATATGTGAATCTGGTTGGAAAAAAAGGCTGCTTGGGCAATCAGGAAGTGTCCGAAACCCAAGGAGTACCACAGAAGTGCTCAGCACTTCTTTTCTGCTCTCGTTTCAGAAAGGTTTCTACCTCCAAAGCTGGCATGGCTTTTCTTACATTTCAAGCTATGTTGGTATTGTAGCAGAGGGCTTCAGTATATCAAGTACATCTACTGTAGGGCAGCGTCCCTGGAAAACTTGCCATTTGCAGTCTTTCATGCTGGGCCTCGAGGATCATGACATTAAATTGCAGGAATAGCTCCTGAGTAAATCTAAGACTCTTACAGAGGAGCCTGCTGTCCAAATTTAAGCACTTTTGATGGAGGGGAGGGTTTGGAATAAAGGCTGCAGCAAGTCTGTTTACTACCAAGAAAACCAGTCTGTGCTGGAAAGCAAACACATGTTGAGTTAAGGCTGGACAAGCAGAAAAGAGCGTTGAAACAGCTGAGAGGGAAGGAGCAAGCTGCTCTTGAGATTTTGATCACAAGCTTTTCCAGCTTCTAAGACATGACACTTCTCGGTTTTATAATATACACATTTATAAATATTTCATAGTGTATTTTCTGAATTTAGAGGTGTTTGGTGCATTCTGGTTGGACATATGATCTGTACAATGGATATGGCTAGTAATTTACCATGGCCTTTGTTAATACAAAGGGGACTTTTAGTTGTGTTACCTGAATTTGTATTTGGTTGGATGAAACAACACATTTGTTTGAACACTTCATGCATTTTACCTTGCTGTGATCTGTTTGTCCATTATTTTTAATAAGCAGTGAAAACATACTAAGATTTCTCACTTGTGAAGAGAAAAACAGAGATTTTTATGCTTGGGCCCCAAGTTCCTTGTGATGCTAGCTGCACACTTGAGAGCACAGGCTCTTACCCTCCAGTGGTGATAATAGGGAAGACTTGCTATGTTCTCATTTTCAGTGCTAGAGTAATTGTCATGTGATGAATGAAAGCTGAGAGGATATGCCAGGAGTTTCTCCTCCCTTAGGAAGAAGAATGTGGCAGGAAGAATGAGTACTTTTTAACCTTTTTCTAGATCCCACAACTGTTTGACAACAACTGACCAGAGAGTGGGAAGCATCCCCTCATGTATGGCCAGCTCTGGGCAGGGCACAGGCAGATACTCCAGGGTCTCCTTCAGTTTTTCCTCAGTGCTGAGCTGTCATAGGTTGGATACTTCCACTTCCACCCTATCCCAAGGGCACTCTTTACTGGTATCAATTCTTCAAAGATTCCTGGTGCATTGCAACAGCTGCCTGCTCTTGTTTTTGTGCTATTTCATCATTTTACCACAGTGCCTGAGAGTTTTTGTCGTTCCTTGACCTTACCACTGCAATCACAGATCCACCAGCATTTCAGTTTCAGGTCCAGTTAGGGAACTGTCCCACTTCTGGTATTGGTCTTATGCTGCTTGTCAACATTTGAAGTGATTTGAAGAGTTCAGATCTGAAAGTTGGTGTTTCCGGAGATATATATTACTACTATACTCTGCTGTAGCCACAAAACTTTCTTTGCAGAAAACCCCTCTGGGACTTGCTACCATGTCATTTTTAATTTAAAATATTCTTATGACTAATGGAACTATAAAATACCTTGTCATTGTTGTAGCACATAGGGGATTCAGTAATAAATTAGAGGTCCCCTGTGACAGGAACCATAGATATATAATAAAACAACAACCTCTGTCTGGGAACACTTAGTCTGAGTTTGTATTTCTTCCCTACGCACCCACATACAAGGTTAATCAAATTTCATGCCTAGAGGCCTAAACAGCTAAAATATAGAAGACGTTTTCACCATTCTACAATGTAGTAGACCTTTATCTCTGGAAAGTACTCACTTTGTTAATGTACAAGACAAAATCTTTCATTTAAACAAACATTTCTCACAGCATATCTAGTTTGATTTGGACATTGGTTTGAAGAAGTAGGATGCATTTGATCATTCCAGATTTATATGCAGTGACTACAGAAAAATGTTTTAGTTTTATTTGAAATGTTTCCTTCCTGCTGTTCTAAATTAAAAAAGCCAGATTTATGACAAAATCATGAAAATGCTTAAATACTCAACTGACTTTTCTGATTCAGGGTTTTCATGTTGATACATTTTCTTGTAATTGCTTTTCCAGATTGTATTGGTGAGTGGACATCTGGACAGCTGGGACGTTGGGCAGGGAGCTATGGATGACGGTGGTGGAGCGTTTATATCATGGGAAGCATTATCACTCATTAAGGATCTGGGTAAATATTTTATTTTAAAATCTTTCTAAGGTATTATATTTCCAGGACATTTTGGATATTGTCTAAACTGAATTTTCTATTTTATCCATTTGTCTGAGCACATATGTTCATATTTTGTATAAATATTTTGCAAGTTTGTCTGTTAACTCCTTCTTTCCTCCAAAAGCAACACATCAGCCAATGATCTAGAAAGTGCCACGACCCTTCATGATCACCATCATCACAGAATGAAACTTCAGTGTAAGATATCTAGATACCTTAGAAGGAAGTCACTCCTTTTCATTTTGTCTCAATGAGTTCCTCCCTATTCAATGAAGATGAAGCTTTGTGAAGTCGCAGATAGCCTTCTGATACTTTTGTTTGCCTTTTAAGCAAACATTGCCACTTGATGCATTCTTAATCTTTCACTGTCCTATATGCTGCTTTACAGTAGCTACTCAATTTAATTCCCAACCCCTTGTTCTTGATAAGTTCTCAAGACAATTTCATCTAATTCTCTCTCAAGAGCATCTAACTAGGACTGGATCCAGACAATGGTCCTTCCTCTGGTCTTTCCTCTTTCATCTACATGTAAATATAGTAAGAAAAAAAAAAATTCATCTATAACATCAAACCAGTGCATTCTCAGATTTGTACTTGATTATGCTGCTTTTATGTTGCTGTGTGCTTGGTCTCTGCTTTGGACTGTGACAGCTGATTTCCTTGGCAAAGCTAATCCCGGTCAGAGAAAGCACACACTTGAATGTCATCATTACCAGGATATACTGTCAAATCTGGCTTAACCATGGTGACCTGTCAAATGCTTTGGGCTCATATATCTCACCAAGCAACATTTGACATTGATGCCTTGCATACTGTAGTGTCCTCCTGCAATAGATTTGTGGGATACAAAGCAACATTGTGCTTCCAGGGATCACTTCTTTGAATCTTTCTTGGTAATCGGTAGGGTGAGCTCTTGGTGGGGTTTTGGAATTTGGTCTGTACATCAGTTGGACGTAGATGAAGTTGATATTCTAACACACAGGCTGTCAACCCTGTACTTGCTGGTCTCCCTCCTCCACAATTTCTGCTCAGCAGGAGTATGAGTTGAACTAAACCCCCATGCTGTCAATGCTAAATGTAGCTAAAGAAGGAAAGAAATAGGAAGAGGTAGCTTCATGCCTGGATATGTGTGTTCCAGTAGTGCTATTGATAAAATAACAGTGTGGACTTGCTCATCCTACTGCCTCCTGGATTGCATAGGCCCCCCATGTGTGGGATCTGAAAGGCCAGTTTTTTCTTCTCATGTGCTTCATCTGACTTTGTGGGCTGCAGGGAGTATGTTATTGTAGGAGAGTATTGTCTGCATATGCCTACACAGGGTGTGTTTGGTGGGAGAAGGGGTCCACAAGGCAAGATGAGGTAGGGCCAGTGTATGTGCAGGGGGGAACTAGTTGCACAGTCATCTGCCTGTGTTTTTCAGACATCAAGCTTCCCAAAGTTTGGTCTGGTGTCCTGCTGCGCCCAGTCTGCCGTGGCCAGTCTGATTTCTGGTCTCCAAGCTGCAAATTTCAGTCTTCATCTGTAGTTTTTTGCTAATTTTACTTCCATATGGGCTTCTGTCACTATATGACTCAAAACCAGTTCAAAACAGACTTCTTAGATTGTCAAGTTGATATCCAAGGATGCTTTTTCCCCTTCATCACATGGAATCTATTTTTACTCATTATTCCTTTTTCCAGAGCTTGTGGTCAAGAGGAATGCACCGCATATTCATTAAAAAATAAAATCAGCTGCTGCTCCTGCTCTTAGCTCTGGCAAAGTTTAAATTATAAACCAGCTTCCCCTGCTTCTGATCACAAAGACTTGTGTACTTGAAAGATCTCAGTGTTTCTTGAAGAGCTCTTTGTAGAGAAGCTCTGTTATGCGATTAACAATTCTCATACTGCAGTGGTGAACATCAGACGTCCCCGTGAATTCTTGTTCTTTTATTTTGCATTATTTGAACCTCTTATCTCTCACTTTCCCAGCCTTGGAATGATTGGAATATCATTTTGTAACTGAAAACAAAGTGGTTTGTTGTTGTTTTTTTTTGTCTTGTAAAAGTAAACTAGAGAGGATTGTTCTACAGAAGAGTCCAGACCTACTCCTTTTAGGGTTTTTAATCTTTCTTTTATGATTCTTGGAAAATTGTCTGTGCTCCCTTCACCTGCAGGAGAAAAAAAATAGTTATGCTTCTGTGTTTGCTGATTCTATGCCATTCAGAGTAAACTGCTTTGTGTCACTTAAGGGCAAGTTCCTGGTGGCATTGTATAATTCTTATTCACTGAGTTTCCCTTCATGCATGACTGAAATGCATCATTCTGCTTGTTCAAATATTTGATTTCCTCTGGTAGTAGCCTGTGTGTTTGCTGTACAACCTGTAGTGAAATGCTGTTTTCTCAGCTGGGAAATGCCAGAGCCTTTGCTGATGCCCTCTGTTCTCGGCAGCTGTTGTTCTCAGCTCTTCTTGTTATACCAGTGTTCTGCAGGACTATAAAGCTGGGAGAGGGCTTCTGGGTCATCACATCTAACCTGTAGATAACTATGGGGGATAGGGCATTTTATAAATTGTCTTCCATAACAGATTGATTAATGCAGATTTTGTATCTAATGATGCACAAAGAATCTGACAAAAAGGACAACAAAATAACAGATGTGCAGGTTGTGTGAGAAATGAGTTAATGAGTTTTATGTAAAATGAATTTCATGTTTGTTTCATGTTTTGGGTAAGCATTATATTTTGAACTGTGGAGAATTATTTTAATATCCTTTTGGACCCTGATAGATTTAGTCTCAGGCTAGCCCACTAAACACATTTGACATGGGGATAAGCCAACTCAATTGGCTTGTCTCTATGAACATGTAGAATTTTTTTACAGTGTACTGGGAGTCTTAAAGTCATGGTGCGTTGTGTAGCCATAAAAACTGTGTCAGAGTTTACCAAAGCCTAAGTGCCTGTGGCAGGAGGGTTGAAACTACGTTATCTTTAAGGTCCCTTCCAACCCTAACCATTCTATGATTCTGTGATTGTGTGATCTTACAGCTGTGGTGATATGATCTTCAAGCTGAAGCAAGAATTCTGAAATATGAATTCTAGAATATGAAGTCTTTATCATGTAGTGAGAAATGCTGGCACTACTTCTGCCATGATCCATTGGTTCCACGAAGGCAAGATTTTGCTACACTATTTAAATAGTTTTTTTCAGTGATGGTTTAATAGCACTTTATCGTGATATCACTGTGACCCTTGGACATGGCTGGTGGACTCAAGTTATACCTGTTAATTAGAATTTTGATAATTCCATATGTACTTGAAGAACGATTACAGTTTAAATACCATTCCATACTTTCAACATAACCTCCCCTACAAGCCATTTAATAGCTATTGGCTTGGGACCAAATATATTTAAATTCATTGAAAAGTCATTAAAATTGTGGTTATAGAATTTATATTTTATTTTAAGAAGTGCAGTTTTTTTCTTGCCTCAAGTAAGATTTTTTAACAGTTTTTGCTTTTATTTCTAAGTAAATCAGTGTTAGCCTTTGTATTTCCTGAATCTTCACTGTTAGCTTTTATTTTCTTAATTGAATGGGCAGTTTATGTACTATATTGATCTATTTTTTGTCCTTCTGGTGTTTTTGTAGATTTTCCGACACTGCAATAGTTCCGGGTTCCCTACAAGGGCACACAACAGTAGCACAGTCTGAGGTAGTTTTACAGTCTTTAAAACTTCAGCCTTTTGGTATAAGATTTTTTTTTTCTTTTCACTTTCTGACTTCAGATGGATGTTGACCCTTTTTGAAAGCAAGGGAACTACATGAAGGCCAGGCTGAACTGACATAATTTTGTATTATATCACCAGAGTGTGGAATAAAAATATTTAATTCATGTAAAGCCTTGTGTACATTTCAGAAGAGTAGGACTTTAAAAACCGGGCCAGGCTGTGAGCTACTGTAGTTCTTAAATACATTTAGAGCTATAACAGTACAGTTAGCTAAAAAGTGGGAAGTTTCAAGTTTGTCTGAATATTTTGCTTCTCAAAGCTGTAATGTCTCTCTGTCCAACTTCCACACTGGGGTGACAGGAAGGGGGCTCTTATGGAGGTGTCGTTCCCTCTCCTCCTTCTACAGGGAGGAAACCAGGCACCAAATTCAGACCAAACACTGACTTTTAGATGGCTACATTTCAGCAGGGTGAATCTTGCTCTAAATGGCTTTATCCACAGCCACCCTGTGCAGACGACTAAACCCTATCTCTTCTGTGCAGCTGCAGCTTCAATCTTGAAACATCTCTTTGAGCAATGTATAGCCAAATGGCAGCACTGGCCTGTGCACCTGCTGGTACCAGAACATGGCTGTAGGCATCTCTGGACTGGAGTGTTTTCTTCCCTTAGTGCACCCGTATCAAGTTCTCTATATGAACTATACTCTCACAGTTGCTTGATCTGCCAGTAGCTAATCCCAAAAAAACCTCACCAAGTAGCGGCTGTATTGACTAATGTTATCCAAAGGGGTATTTTCTCCCAATTAATGCTGAAGTTTAACGAAGCACAAAGGAAATAAAAACAGACTTGTTTTTCCCTGGAACCCTTGAAGCTTATACACACCATTGATTGGCAAGTTCTGTGGTGAGCTGCTGCATGGTTTATGTGCTTAAAAACTGGAGAACTGGAAGGGTTTCCACAGAAGTTGTTTATGTGAATGAAGATGAAAGTTTCAGCCTGTTATTGCTCTTGATTCCTTTTTCTGGCAATAAAGACATCTTTAGAGGCGCTGAGGCAGTCTATGAGCTGGTCCGAACTGGTAAACTCCGTTTCCATCACTGGAGCTAGGGCTGTTGGGATTATCTGAGGCTTTCTGATGCTTAAGAAATTACCCTTCAGAACTGCAGCAGGGTGTTGGAGGCAGTAAGCTTGTGCAATGCACAGTTTGCCTGCAGCTGTGTCTGGCAGCTGCTGCCCTCCCCAGCCCTCTGCAGC